TTATCACGATTCCGATTTCACGTCAGCGCGCTCGACGCGAGTTTGTTATATACCGACGCGCGTCTCGCGATACATATCGGGAATATGCTCTTGGGCGTCGGGGCGCCGTCCCGCCCTGCCCGCGCGGGGGATCGCAGATTTTTACGGTGCCCGAAGTTCTCGGGGATTCGCGCCGATACGAATTCTCGCGGGCGTGCAATGTGTGCTTTTCTGGGCGAACGTGTTCTCGGGGAGCCGCTCTCCTTCAGATTGCGCGGGAATCGTATCTTGGACAAAGAGAGAGAGCTAGAATCGTTGCTGTTTATTCCAGGTCCTCTCCAGATTTTACGAGGCCTGCGGAGATCGAGTTTAGACAATTTCTCGTTATCGTTCGCAGCCGCGGCAGTCGACAATGCTTGACAAAGGGATTGTTCTTCTCTTTTAGATCTCTTTGCGAGGGATACTTTTAATCTTAGGACTAAATGCTGAGATTTGTTTCTAAGAGTGAGAGAAGGGGGGGGGAAAGGGAGAATGAGAGAAAGAGCTTTGGCATGTTTGAGTCCTCTCTGTTTTCAAATTCTCCGAATATTCGGAATTTCCGATTCGCCAGGTGCCTTGGTCTTCGATTATTCCAGCGTCCCTTTGATCTCGCGTCTCTCAAATGCCATAGTTTGATCTCGCCGCAGACCGCAGTCTGCGTCTAGTGCCGCCGTGCACGCAATCGGATTCTCTCCAAGATCGTCACGCATCCTTACATGCGCACACGCATACGCCGGAGCGGGAAGGAATAACGTTGATCTGGCGGCCGTGGGAGCCCGATCTCGGGTGCGAAAGGGGAAATTTTACGAGGGAATAAACGAGATAGGGGGAGAAGGAGAGGATAGGTAGACTAGAGAAACACAAAGAACAGAGCCTGGAAATAGAGCGATGACACGCTGCGCGCGAGCGGGGGAGAGGCCGGGCTAATTCGAGGTGCTTTGCTGACGCTGTGGTTTCTGTTGTTGCAGAGCTGAAAAATTGGCGGATATCACAGATATTTGAGAGACAGAGTAACAGCGACGAGAGGAGGCGGTGCTCGTTGTGCGGTAAGGTCGTGACGAACGTGCGCAATCACTATTACGTGCATTTCCCCGGGAAGTACGCCTGCCCGCTCTGCCCGGCGGTGTACACGCGCAGCGATACCCTGCTCACGCACACGCGTACGAAGCACGCGCACGCGCAATAGTATCGCACGCACGCGTCGCGATACTTGGGGCGAGCCGCGTACTTTAAGCTGCGGATCTAGCACGAGAGTCTTCCTCCTCTTCGTCTCCGGCCATGCTCCCTTGTCCCCCCCCCCCTCACCCAGAACTTGCCCGTCGTTCTTCCGTTAGATAAGCTGGATCGCAGCGTGCTAATGTTTGCTGAAAAGCGAAGGATTCCGGAGACACGAGGAATCCCGATGTCTCTGAGGGAGATGAAGATCGAAAGACTGATAGATGCGACGGGTCTCTGCCTCTCCTCAAGATGGAATCTAGATTTTAATGTCGGATGCCCTGAGAAGCTAAGCTGATGCATGCGTTCGAGGATACGTGAGCGACTCCCTCGAGGAACGTCGCGGATCGTTCCCCTCCTTCACGGGCGTTCGATAGTCGACGTTGCATTTGGCATTACTTAGTCTTCGCCAGGCGTGTCTCGAGTAATCGCGAGGACCGTGTAATTTCGTGTAAATATTAGTTTTCGCCTCTTTCCGCCTCGCTGCCTCTCTTTTATCCCTTTCTCTCTTTCTCTCGCTTTTTCTCCCTTTCTTCAATAGTCGCGGACACCGGTAGGTGCCTGACGAACTTGGTGCTCGAACTCTTACTTCGAATCTGCGCCGACTGTGTTTGCACGACCTCGCGCTTTTACGAGCCTCCGTTCCCTCGGACTTTATTCGCGCGAGCGTGAATTAACTGGGGGATGGCACGATTCAAGGGTGAGTTAAAGAAGGAATCGAAATGGACTTTGTTGCATCTTCCCTTCCATACTCGCGATTGTTCCTCGTAGAAGTAAAGAGCGAAGAGAGTCTAGTCATCGTTCATAAACGTCAAGTGTTAAATCGGGTTGCATTTTTTTAAATTGGAGAAATTTTAACATCTGTCAGTTACCAAACAGATTTTATTTGCACAAGTAGATCGACGACCGATGCGACTATTAGCTCCCTACATTGATAATACACCGTAATATTTTGTCGGACATAAATTGTAATGTTACCTCGACAGAGAATAGTCTCAGCAGAGATACAGGGACAGCTTCTGAGCTGCTTAAAAGAATGAACTTACAGAAAATGTAACTCGATATTAGGATATTGAATATTCATGGTTCCAAAGCTATAAGGAGACGCGGCAGCCATTTAAATCTCGGCCTCGACGAGAAACATCAAATGCACACACATTCGGTTTCATCGAACACTCTGTACATTTATAAATCGACGAGAGTCCGTAGGTTTCACATGAACGTTGCGAACGCACGTGAATCCGTGGATCCGCAGCTTCGAATGCCACGTATCTCGACAGTGCAGTGCCGGGGGGCGCGTGTTCTTCCGTCAAAATGCCAAAGGCGGCTGCCAAAGGGAGCGCGTTAGGCTCGTAATATACGAACACGCACGGACGTTTAAGTACCAAAGAGCAGTCTAACTTGACACTTCCACTACTTGTACCTTCGATCCTCCCCTCGATCGGGCGATAGCGTAATCTCTCTTTCCTCCTACGCGAAGCAGAAGAATTGGCGTTGTCCCTTCACGGGAGGAGCAAGAGTTCTGGTGAAGCGTCGATACTTAAGGAGCCGCGAGGTCTCTACCGCGTTTCAACGATCGTTACGGATAATCGTCCGCGTGCCGACGGGAGTGAGATTCGAGTCAGTTTTAGTGCGTGTGATTTCGGCTGTAGGCACTAATGGCTAATTATAGAGGTAAGGAGGATCGACGAGGGATCTAGAGAGAAATGTTAGATGTTTTATGAGGGACTGCGGTGATTAAAAAGATGTAATATATATATATATTGTACGTATGAAATAAAAAGGAGCTGGTATCTCGCAATAATTTCGAGGGCTTTGAGCGACACGCACGTCGTCATTAATCCCCTTCTGCGGAGCAACTGTTCCGTGCGGATTTCATGCGCAGTGCGGATTATCAGGTGCTTCGTTTGCAGGTAATCCGTCTCGATAATCGATACGCGGCGTACCTTTGGGGGGTGAACTGGTATTTGACGACACCGCAACGTCTTAATTAAATATCCCCGATTATCTCGAGATGCCGTGTGCCCAAGAGCACGCATCATGTTACGTCGATCACGTTATGTCGGTGAATTTGTATTTGCATCCCGATAGAACTGACGCTTGCCTAATCGCATGGATCTACGCGGAGAATAACGCTGCTTGAAAATGTTCGACGCCAATCTTTTCAGATCGCGCAGATCGCGGGAGGATGAGTTTTCCTTGGTGTCTCCTCGCCTCGTTTGGTCATGATTTGTTTATCGCTCTCTGAAAAATTGTTTACCTCCAGTTTCTAAAAACCGCGTCGATCGTTCTCAATACTTGGCGACGCGTTGATTGCGCACCGGTGAAAAAGTCGCACGACGGAGTATATAAACGAAGAATGATTAACGTCGACAGAATTGTTGCGTACGAAAAGCGATTCGTGTAATTATATTTCATGGTGACTTTTTGATCGGCGCGCGTGCGGTGCGCGTGAAACGGGACGTAAGCTTCCTTCGCCCACACGCCGACGACGATAAGAACCCAACACAAGCGTGTCAAGTTACCGCGTCTTCCAGCACGGATTATTGGAGGCGACGAGCTCCGTCTCAGATAATCCTGCAATAACATCGGCAAATATTCGGTTAAGTATTTTTCTCCTCCACGATGTTCGCCGCGTTGCCGCTGAAACGTGAGTTTATCTCGGTGGATCCTGAGAGCATCCGGGAACCGAAAAGTTCCCGGGAAGATCCGATGAGTCGAGCGATTCCACGAGCTTTAGCGTATGAATCGCGAATGCGAGAATGCGTATATTCTAGAACTCGAGGATCCAGGAATCCTGAAATACTCAGAAGTCTCTGGACGCGGAGAGGCGCGCTATTTTCACTCCACGGCATGTTCTTCGTGTTTCCATGGCGGCATCAAGAACGTGAGTATATATCCCGTGACGCTTGTGGAATATCTGTGCTTGTGGAGACTGCAAAAGAGGAAGTGAATGGTGATCGTGCGTGTGGATGCGTTCACACATGACCGGACACATTCGATCGTTTCGACTCACTGCCTGCACTTGTGACGTCTCTCCCGTTATCCGTGCGCTCAAAAAATTTTGCTCCAAAGGCGGATACGAACGGCGTATCTGTGCTCACTCGAGAGTTACGGACCTCTGCCCTGGATCGAAAAATTAATTCACGTGGAGACGAAAATTTGAGTTGCTCTTTAAGAAAATTGTCTTACATTAATCTGGATTCTGCCTATATCAGTTTCTTTTTAACTATTTCTGTTTTCCCGTCGTCCTTTGCATAATCCTCTTTGTTCGCTAAGTCTAGTACGTGTCAATAATTCGAATTCACACAAGAGGACGTCACCGGCCGCGATGAGCAAATTCATTAGACCCGTCAAGAACACTGACACCCGAACACTGCACCAAACAAAACCCACACGACCACCCACCGCACCGAGGGGTCCAAGAGTTTCGAGGTCTCGCAGATTGAACATTTCCGAATCTGACGCCAGAGTCCGAAAGCTCGGGATCCCGAAATCGAGAGGCTCCTACGAGTCGAGGAGTCGAGGAACCAAGACGTGTACCCGTCAAGTCTCGAAGATCCCGGGCTTCTTAAATTTTTGGATCTTAGAATCTTGGATCTTGGAGATTCAGCGAGCTCTGGACCGCCTGGATTCAGGGACTGACCGTCGAGAATTGTTTAGGCTAAAACGCGCGACGGGTTCCCAGGCTCGCAGAATCTTGAGGATCCTAAAGCGCTTCGCGGCTAAACACGACTGGCGACTGGTTGTGCACGAAGGGCATGTAGATGCTGTTGGGTTTTGCAGGTTCGATGCCGAGCGTGCCGGTCGGCCTCTCTTATCACGAGATGTTCGCCGTGTCGCTTAACAGCCCGGCGTTATGGAGATGCCGCGCCTGCGGGAAGCAGGTGACCAATCGTTGGCACCACTTCCACATACACACCGCGCAGCGCTCGCTGTGCCCCTATTGCCCGGCCACCTACAGCAGGATCGACACTCTGCGTTCGCACATACGCACCAAGCACAGGGAGATGCTGTTCGCCGGGAAGGCGTCCTTGTAGAGGACGGTGATTGCCTCGCGAAGGAAGCGGCCGCCGCCACTTCCGCCTCCGCGTCTGTTCTACGAGCGCCCAGTCGCGCCCTTCTTCGGCTTCGGGTTGCCCTGACCCCCGTCCCTCGAGTCGCCGGGACACCGGGGACCTGAGTAGTGCGGCGCTCTCGAGAGACAGGGTGTAGCGAGTGCTCCATGATTCCGGGTTCAAGGAGGCTCCGGAGATTCGCGCAGATACTGAAATCCGATTGATCGAGGATCCTAGAGTCGCGCGCGGCAATTTACCGAAAAACCTTTCGAAAGTGCCGGTCCATTCGATCGGATTCCAGCATTCAAGAATCTGGGGGGTCTCGCGGAGATCCGACCGTTGTGTTCTTCCTGAGAGGAGCAAGTGCCGGAAAGAGTGGTGCTACCCCCCCCCCCCCCCACCCGAGGACTTCGGCGGAAGCCGGATCAGCGATCGGCGCGACGATGTAATCGATTCGCGGGGCGAATCCGTTCGACCAATGGCCTCATTAGCGATAATTATTTGCCGGTTAATCCGTTTGCCGCGTCTTCGGACGAGCCGCCCGGCCGCTGTAGGCGGGAAAGCGAGGGTTGGGGCCGGAGGGGGGGGGGGAGGGAAGGGAAGGACGGTTATCGATCATACCGCGCCCTCGAAACTTCCGTCACATCTCGTGAGAGCGGCGAACGGGCGGGCGGACGGGCAGAGAAATAAATAGGGCAAGGGGATCTATCGACGACGTGCTCACGCGCTGACAGTCGGGCGGTATGGCTGGCACGAGAAGTCAGAATTTTGCGAGGACAATCGATCGATAGTAACGCTTCGAATAGTTTTCGCGAAGACGGTGAGCCGCGTCTTGTTCGGTTCTCTCTCTCTCTCTCTTTCTCTCGTCGGGGCGGACCGCGAGAAACGAGGCGGGGGAGATTTTAAATATCGGTAACGATATCACGCGCGAGCGTCTCCCACGCCGGTATTACGTCTCTCAAACTTTATGGCGGGGAGACTCGCCACATTTTTCAACCTCGACGTACATTTTTCCGGGCGTTTGCGATAGAGGGCGCTTTCTTTTTCTTTTTTTTGTTACCTCTTTATCGAGCGCGTTCGTTTTTACGCAGGCACATCTCTTTCGTAGGTCACGTAGCTGTGGCGAAGTCGCGAGAAATTGGAGACGACTCGCGATCCGTCGGGACGATAACTGTGTACTGTTGCACTTTGCGCCCGCTAAAGTTTCTTTCGCGGAATGCGTTTCCGACGGTCCGCTCCCGGAGACGTTTACGCAGCATATTACACGCATCGTCGTTGATCAGTGTACGCGGTTTTGTTCCGTTCGTTGATTTCGATCGAATCATCTCTACGTTCGTCGATGATTCGGGAAACGAGGTGAGGTAGGGTGACGGAGCGGAGGCAAAAACGGAGATGTGCACAAGGGAAATGCGCGGTGGCCCCGCGCTTTCTAAGTAAGATAAAACGGTCTAATTAATATGCAATGGAAGGCTGAAACGCGCGCTGTGATTTTTGAACACCGAAAAATGAAATTTTTCAAAGGGTACTACGAATTATCGCGATAGTGATCATTGTTACAAAGAGGGTCTTGTTAATCGTAATATTATTTCGCTACGCGCGACCATTAGCGATCATCTCCCACGATTAATTCGCGTTACGAACGCAAGCGTAACGTGTGGGCGAGCGAGAATGAGAGGAAGAAAGCAAGAAGGGAGATATACGTAGATTACGCTGCCGATCCTCGGTAAACGAAGACGAACTCAATTTTATTCCCAATTATTTTATTTCTATTGACTCGATCAAGTTCGCATTAATTTTGCACCTTGCGCGGATTGCGCCGGGAAGTCCCGCGGGCAATTTTAGCGACCCGAGGAAAATTTTTATATAAACGTCGGCTTTTAATTTATGTACGCTCTGCTTTTTATACTCCGAGACTTACTCAAGTCCTCGCCGTGAATGGTTTGCCGAACGATAACGAAGTAAGGCGGCGGCGAATTAATCAGATAATTAAGGATCCGGGTATTCCGAGTGTTTTGGGAAATTCAATTCAATTGGTTTCTCGGCAAACGCAATTGGGCCCGTCGTCGCGAGGGCCGAGGGCGGCAGCGGGCGAAACGCGCGACGGACGTACACCCGGCGCGTGTCCGCAACAGTATTACGCGTGCGTGCGCGGAAGTACGTGTCCCGTGTATTATTTCGGCGGTGGCGAGCTGTCGCGTGGGGCACGAGTGTCGGCCGCCGCCGCGATGTCCCGCGGAAAATTTGCGGTGCGTTCCGCGACGGAAATGCGGAGCGTCGCGGATGGCATCGGGGGTCCCCCCTCCCCCCCCCCTCCGGTTTCCGGAGCAGCCGTAAGTATGGAGTTGCGACTGAACTCTCTGCACGTAGTTTATCTGTTGCGCGGTCTGCGGCGCGGCCTCGGATACGTACGAGCGCCGGGACGCACTGCGCGCTGGCACATTGACAAGAGCGATCTCTTCGATCAAGACGACGCCGGGCGCCTCGAGCTTCCGTCAGAAGCAGTTCGATAACCGCCGGTTATCGGAACGGCGCTCCGATAGGGAGTAGGGAATAAATCGGAGGTTCTCAAACGCCGCGGCGCGACGCCCGAAAGACGGGAGGGACTCGAGCGGACGCGGATAAATTCCCTTTGGATCGAACGCTCGAATTCTCGGCGCTTCGCATCCTCGAGATCTCGGCGGTTGCAATTGTTGAAACCGTCTTCGGTAAAAGCTTGGATATTTTGAATCTTTCGGTCGTTTAAGTGCTCTGAAGGCACATTCGTGTGAAAAGTTATATAATCGCGCGATCCCTTTGGGAGTAACGTTGCGCCGTTTTGACAACCTCTGTCCTAGATCACTATCCGCGAAACGGCGTCCCGAGAGGCGTCGGATCACTTGAGATATACCCGAACATTTCTCTTTGGACCAATACTCCTCATGTAATGGACGGTTGTAATCGCTGTCGAGGCTCGCAAAGTACCTAAGCAAACCTCACGATGAGATGAGAGTTTTTGACCGTGTGGTTCCTAAGTTTTACTCATAGCAAGCCAAGTCACAACGGGAGTTATGTGATACATACAATATATATATATATATATGTATATTAGGGGCGATATACCCTAAGGCCAATAATTTACAGGGACGGACTGGCCCGATGCCTCGTGGAAAGTGAAGACGCGGCATTTACTCGGTTCCACACAAATGTGCGCGAGGCTCGGGAATTTGTCGGAAGCGTTTGCCGCGTGTGGCAGCGATCGTTCGCGCGAGGAATCAAGTATCTTATACAGACGTGTCGAGTATTTTATTCGACGTTAATTTTAACGAGTAACTCCGATCCTTCGTCCCGATTGTCGTGTAGTCAAATGCTCGCCCTGTGTCAGCCAGTCCGTCCGTGTCAATTTACGTGTTGCGTGTAACTAATATTCGCGAGTTGCGAGTTGCAAGATGGATCGCGCGGCATCTGCACGGCCGGTTCTACACTGATCGTACACGGGAGAAAAAATAATGTTGCACCAACAAGACATCAGTGTAATAAAAAGATTTAAATCCACAGCAAATACAATCGGATGAATTATTTATGTTTGTGGCGGCCCGTGGCGTTGACGTTTAATTCAAGCAACTTCACTTCTTTTTCCGTGTAGCGTCGCGAATCATACGCGGAAAGACCGGCTAAGGTAAAAAATAGCTGAAACTAAAATGTTGCCGTGTAAATAGCAGGGGCACCTACATTGTTTTGTGTCGCAACATTCACTAAAAAAAACGCATACAGTTGTCTCCACTACTTATCATACCAGTGTGGATATGACAAGCACGGATACAGCTGTCCCAAGTATTACTATTTATTGGGGTTGTGCCAACTCTAATTAGACATGAGGTAACCATATCGGTCTCTCCGTGTAGATTCGACCAATCAGTGTCGAATCAGAACCAGTCTACGACCCTTGCGACACACCACGGTGCGACCAGTGTAGAACCGGCCTGACACGTTGTGGCGCCGATTTCACCGTTGTCGTACAGGACGCGATTCTGACTAGGGCTGTTACTTTTGATAGCTTCGAAGCTTCGAAGCTTCGAAAAATTTATTCGTGCGAGTGGCGAATTTATTTAAAGAACACTAAAAATATTGCAAATAAAAAGTACCTATTTATGCGTGTTGAAAAATAGGTGGTTACTTCTAAATTATAATTTTGAAGTGCTATAACATGTATATTGCATATTTGTTTAAGATCGCGTAATGAAATCTTCAAGAATGGCCAAGTAAATCAATTAAGTATCGTATCGACACTTGAAAAATTCGCATAAATTTCTTGCGAATTATATCGCTAATTAATAATTTCATTTATTTAAAATTTATCCGAATATTACTTGAGTTTCTAAATTATCGCGTTATTGTCCGTGTGCATTCTCAATTCTTATTCGCGTCGCGCGTCTATCACGTACATTTACATGAACAACATTTAATATAGAAATATTTTAAATAAATAGTGAAGCAGTTCTCATTGAGTTATGTGTGTCTGTAGAATTTTTTATCGACTACACTATTTAATTAATATTTAACAAATGAGTAAGATCTGTCAAGGCTGAGGCAAAAGTCACAAAATCAGTAGATTGGTATGACATTGACGCGAGTAATTAGTCAATTGTTAAAACGAATGTAAAACTTATTTCTCGTTTCATGGCGAGTATATATTGTGTTCATAATGTGTACATAAGGAGGACAGTTTCGTTACGATCGTCAGCTTACATAACAAAGTCAGGTAGTAATCAAATGTGTCTAAGATTAAAAACAATATAATTGTAACATCAATTAAAAAAGACAACTTTAACATGCATAGATATTTTTTACTAAATTTAAATTATTAAATGATTTAGTACTTTACATTTAAATATTCCATCTAAAATTTTTGCCAATATTACAAAATATTGCATTACACCGTGTAGTATGCAGAATTTATTAATATAATAAATGTAGAATATGACAAACAGGTCATTTTGAACCTGGACGAGGTTCGTAAATTATATGATCACAATTCTCGAGCAAAGCGTGATTAAATATGCAATATACATGTTATAATACTTAAAAATTATATTGTAATTCAGAAGTAATTACCTATTTTTCACATATAAATACAAAAAGTATTAATTTATATATATATATAAAATTTATATATATATAAATAATATATATATAAATTTATATATTTATATATATATAATATATTTATAT